ATTCATTGGTGTCTTATTGGTTTCACTCGGAATCATTGATGTCTTATTGGTCTCACTCGGAATCATTGGTGTCTTATTGGTTTCACTGACAATCATTGGTGTATTATTGGTCTCACTCGGAATCATTGGTGTCTAATTTGTTTCACCGGGAATCATTGGTGTCTTATTGGGTTTACTGACAATCATTGGTGTATTATTGGTTTCAATGGGAATCATTTGCGTCTTATTGGTTTCACTGACAATCATTGGTGTATTATTGGTTTCACTGGGAATCATTGGTGTCTTATTGGTTTCACTGACAATCATTGGTGTATTATTGGTTTCACTGGGAATCATTGGTGTATTATTGGTTTCACTGGGAATCATTGGTGTCTTATTGGTTTCACTGGGAATCATTGGTGTCTTATTGGTTTCACTAGGAATCATTGGTGTCTTATTGGTTTCACTGGGAATCATTGGTGTCTTATTGGTTTCACTGGGAATCATTGGTGTATTATTGGTTTCACTGACAATCATTGGTGTATTATTGGTTTCACTGACAATCATTGGTGTCTTATTGGTTTCACTGGGAATCATTGGTGTCTTATTGGTTTCACTAGGAATCATTGGTGTCTTATTGGTTTCACTGGGAACCATTGGAGTCTTATTGGTTTCACCGGGAATCATTGGTGTCTTATTGGTTTCACCGGGAATCATTGGTGTCATTAGTTTCACTGACAATCATTGGTGTATTATTGGTTTCACTGACAATCATTGGTGTATTATTGGTTTCACTGGGAATCATTGGTGTCTTATTGGTTTCACTGACAATCATTGGTGTCTTATTGGTTTCACTGGAAATCATTGGTTTCTTATTGGTTACGCTGGGATTCATTGGTGTCTTATTGGGTTCACTACTGTCTTATTGGTTTCACTGGGAATCATTGGTGTCTTATTGGTTTCACTGGGAATCATTGGTGTCTTATTGGTTTCACTGGGAATTATTTATGTCGTATTGGTTTCACATGGAATCATTGATGTCTTGTTGGTTTCACTGGTGTCTTACTGGCTTCACTGGAAATCAGTGGTTTCTTATTGGTCTCACTGGTGTCTTATTGGTTTCACTGGGAATCATTGGCGTCTTATTGGTTTCACCGGGAAATATTTGCGTCTTATTGGTTTCACCGGGAAATATTTGCGTCTTATTGGTCTCACTGATAATCATTGGTGTCTTATTGGTTTCACTGATAATCATTGGTGTCTTATTGGTCTCACTGGGAATCATTGTGTCTTATTGGTCTCACTGATAATCATTGGTGTCTTATTGGTTTCACTGATAATCATTGGTGTCTTATTGGTCTCACTGATAATCATTGGTGTCTTATTGGTTTCACTGACAATCATTGGTGTCTTATTGGTCTCACTGGGAATCATTGTGTCTTATTGGTCTCACTGATAATCATTGGTGTCTTATTGGTTTCACTGATAATCATTGGTGTCTTATTGGTCTCACTGGGAATCATTGCGTCTTATTGGTCTCACTGATAATCATTGGTGTCTTATTGGTTTCACTGATAATCATTGGTGTCTTATTGGTCTCACTGGGAATCATTGCGTCTTATTGGTCTCACTGATAATCATTGGTGTCTTATTGGTTTCACTGATAATCATTGGTGTCTTTTTGGTTTCACTGGGAATCATTGTCTTATTGGTTTCACTGGGAATCATTGGTGTCTTTTTGGTTTCATTGAGTGTTATTGGAGCATTAACTCCCCATGAAATCAATGGAGTTATATGACTTACTTTTCTGCACCATGTGGGCTAATGTTTGCAAGGTGCAATCAGGGACATTTTGCCAGGACGGTGGCATTACTCTGCTTGATTTCAATTTCCAACTGTTGAGAGATCTTTATCGCGCCCAGACTGTAGCACTCAGGGCCTTTTACCTGCATTACTGACAGGGGGAAAACAGGTTGAAATTCCAAAGGTATCATCTACCTATGCCGGGATTGAACCCTGGACATTTAGGTTAGCAAGCATGCGTCTAATTCACTGAGCCACCACTGCTCCCATCATTCATAAGAGACATGTTGCTATTTTCATATTGGATGGACTAATAGTCATTACAATGGTCACAATCTATTGAATAGTACAGCTATTGAATATATTGAATATATACCTCATAAATTCATCAAACAACAGTTTATTTCAACAAATATATGTTTACAAGTTATATAAAGAAATGGAATGGAATATTTCTCTGTATTGATCAATAAGGGAGCTCTATGCAGATGGTAAAAACATGACCTTTGAACTTCCAAGGATCTGTTTTGATTATAGTTTGCCCACAACTTAGAAATACCACTGTTAAAATAGTGCTCAATACATCAATTGTATTGCGATATAGAAATACCACTGTTAAAATAGTGCTCAATACGTCAATTATAGAGTGATATAGAAATACGACTGTTAAAATAGTGCTCAATACGTCAATTATAGAGTGATATAGAAATACCACTGTTAAAATAGTGCTCAATACATCAATTGTAGAATGATATAGAAATACAACTGTTAAAATAGTGCTCAATACATCAATTGTAGAATGATATAGAAATACAACTGTTAAAATAGTGCTCAATACATCAATTGTAGAATGATATAGAAATACCTCTGTATAGATACAGAAATATTTAAACAGAACCTGAACTATAAGATAGGTGCCAGGTTCAGTTTTGAAATTTCTAAAAATGCTTGTATTCTAAACATTGGGAGTGTTCGTTCACTTCCCTATGAATTTAAAAAAAAATCTTTAGTGAGTTAACTGAGCCCAGATCTACCAACATTCACCTGTAATAATTGGCTGTATGTATAACTGGCCAGCCTTTTCTGGCCTGTAGAAATGCCACTGAAAATACCAAATCTGTATGGAAATTAAAGCATAAAAATACCAGATAAAGCACCTTATATATTTTAACACATCTAAACATCCATTCAACAAGAATAAAAAATAGAGTTTTTATCTTTCAGATCTTGTAAGTATAGTGAGATGAAACATATATACACAATGAAATGATATATTTATATCAAACAATGAATTATACTTCTTACAATGAACAGTGACCTATAAAAAGTATATATTGATCGATGAGCCTATCTGGTGTCATAACTATACAACAGAATTCCTTTATAATCACATAGATAAATAAATAAAACTTTGTTATTATCCATAAAAGTAATTATTGAAAAAATCATAAAATCTTTACAGCTTATTTCAGAGATTACTGTTTTTTCTATATAGGGATTATGACACTAGGTAAACATACTGAAAAATTTATATTCTTAATCTCCAAGCCCTACTTGGGCCAATGAAGTCAGCTAACACCATGAAGTGTGCAATGAGTGGCATTAACCTACTCTTTTTTTGATGTCCAACTGTCAAGGGACCTTTAATGTGCACAGTCTGTAATAATTCAGCACATGGGGCCTCAGTTTATTGTCCCATCCAAACAATGCCAGCCTCGTGGACCTGCATCACAGACAGGAAGATATTCACTGAAGGTATTTTCACAACCTCACTGGGATTCAACCCTTGGCATTAAAGAAATTCACAGTGTCATTATGCACTGTAACAAATCTTCTTAGTGAGGCCTCCTTTAAATGCGAAAAAAGAAAATCAATCAAAATTGTTGACTAGCTATTCTAATAGTGCTTTTAAAAGGCCTCTTAAAGCCATTTTTTTGCTATGTAACTAGCATTATCTTGATGATTTCGTACCTCATTCCTATTGCCATACATCAAAACATAAATGGAATTT